TAGGAAAAACCAAGGCTTAAAGGATCTAGAATTATCACTATAGAGTGCAAAAGTATATTTGAGAGTGCAAATCTTTATAATTTTAAATTGCTTTAAATTTTTTAATATAATATTTAATATTTTTCAAAATTTTGAGGGTGCGGGCTAGATCCATCTTGGGCTTAAGAGTTTTCATTCGGCTATCCTTGCAAGCTAAGTGTCGCATCGCTCGGGGGGTACCCGTACGTGCTAAACAGTTTGGACCCTCAATTTCTTTAATCTAATCTTACGCGTGCAATGTAAAACATAGTTGAGAGCCTAAATCTGGCAATTTTTATAGAAAATCCATTTTAGTGCAAAACCTTTGCTAGAAACGGACTGCGTCATCAGATCTCAGAGTCATCACCTAATATTTTGGGAAAATTAGGAAACCTGTGACTCGTGCCAAGATCATTGTTCGTTGTAACCGAAGATGTCTCGGTTCGGAACCTAAGGTATGGGGGGAAGGTCATTAATTGAGCACCCCCGCTCACTCGATCAAAAAATCGGCCTCTACTAAACCATGATATGAATTTTATTGACTTTATATGTTCATATTCTGATTATTAAATAAATCCTAAAATTTACTATGTGAAGCAAACAAGTATATACAATGTCATTCATTTTGGAATAATTTAATTTTCATGCATTTTGAAAGAGTTTTGAAAATGTACAAGTCAAAGAAATTGAGTTTACAAACATGAAAATCAACATCATTCCAATTAAACAACATAACCTCCATCCACTGGTATTCATAAAGTTATATCAAAAAAGAAAATAGCCTTATGGTTGAATGCTAAACATATTAAGAAAAACACATGCGAGATGCTAAAGTAAAAAAACTTATATATTTACCGATGTCCCACGAACAACTTTGAAGGAAAAGATGAATTTTCTGATTATCAAACTTTCTTCTTAACACTCTCATGGTTATGGAGTATGCTTTGAACTCTTCGTAAGAAGTTGCAAGTTTAAGCTTTAATGAAATTTTTGGGTATATATCAGTGGACAGAAAGGTTTAAGATTTGTTGAAACAAAAATTATTTTTTCAAAATTTTCTCTTCTCAAGATTTTGTGCAACAAAATTTTTCTTTTTTTTTTCCTTCTTTTTTTTTTTTTGAAACCAAATTTTGTTTCTCAAAATTTTCTCTCTTTTTTTCCCCTCTTTTTTTAAAACAACAAAATGAGGGGGTATTTAAAGAATTCTCAAACACTCAAAACACATGGCTAGCACTACAGGAAAAAGAGGTTTAGGCGGCGTTTTTTTAACGACGTATTTTTAAACGTCACTTTTCTTTAACATTTAACGACGTTTTATAAAACGTCGCATATTTGTTTAATAAAACGACACCGTTTAATAATAGGAGGCGTTTAAAACGCCTCCAAATGTGTTGTCCCTCACGCGCTTGGTCTCCTCTTTTCAAAGCCTAATTTTGAATCTCAGACTCACCTAAGACCCAAATTTTCGAGCTCTCTCTCTCTCTCAGAGCGATTTCGAAGCTCCACCACTGTCTCTCTTTCTTTCTCTAAATCTCTCTCTCAACCCTCTCTAAACCCTTATCAGAGCAATTCAGAGATTCATCTCAGTGATTTCATCACAAAGATTCAGAGCGATTTCATCTCAGTGATTTCATCGCAGAGATTCAAAGATTCAGATCGGTCTCCACCATCTGCACCATCGTCTCCATCATCATCTACACCATCGTCTCCTAAGGTCAGCTCCACCGTCTCTCTCTCTCTCTCTCTGAAGCTCTTCCTTCCCATCTCTCTCTCTGTTTCAGTGATTGATGAGTTATATATGCTCTAGTTCGCCCCCAATCCAAGATTGATCCATATGAGGTTAGGGCCCGTGCTAATCAGGTTGTGCAAGATCAACGCCGTCTGAGGGTTGGTCTTCCAATCTCAGTTTCATCGAGTCTTCTCTCTCCCTCTCTCTCTCTCTATCTCCCTCTCTCTCGATCTCTATCTCTCTCGCACAATCTCGTTATCTGCGTACACATTATCTGTACTTTTTTTTGGATAATTTTTTTTTCTCCTAAAAATCTCTTTATACAAGTATATATATGAATTTATATATGTATTGATTGAATAATCATCCTTATTTTATTTTCAAGCTCTCGAATGATCCAATCGTTGATCGGTAGTGATGGAAAAAATCAACTCCTGTGAGAAAAGAAACCCTTTCTCATTGGAGGTAAGTTCTAATATATTTGTTTACATGTTTGTTCTGATTTTGATCTTGTGATTTGAATTGAACAACTCTGTGTTAGCTTTTTGTTCATTGTTTGGGAATTGATATCAATTTTTTAGCATTTGTAGTTTGAATGCCATGTTTTGTTCATTGAAAATACAGTTAAGGTAATAAAACGACATTTAATTTTTATTATGTTGGACTGATTATGTTTTGCCGTTAACAGAGGACAAGCATTTCGCACCACTGCTGCTGTCCTAGGAGGAAAGAGCTGGCATCTCAGATATCTGAGTTCTATCCAATCAGAGAGTAATATGAAAATAAGGGTTTTTAAGATCTATATTAATATTATACCATGTACTACCTTAAGAAATTTTCTATTTATCCTTTTTATATAATATATTATTACAATATCAGATATCAATCAGATTGATTTACTTAGGTTAAAGTTTGAGTCAGATATCAATCAGTAATCTCACTGATTTTTCTTACAGGATGGACAAGATTCTAAAGATCCAAAGCAAAGCACTGCTGATATGACAGTTTTTGTAAGTCTCGTGATATATGGTCCTCCCTATTAGAATTTTTGTAACTCTGTGGCTTTCATCTAGCCACGGTGAGGTGATACTTTTCTGGTGATATGAAGTATACTTCAGGCATTTGGATTTGTTCTGCTCTTATTGTGACAACTCCTTTGTTCAAATGCATAATACATAACATATATTGTTTGTTCAAATGCATAATGCATACATAGATATATATACTCCTTTGTCACAGTGCTGTTCAATTCATGGCTGTTATTGTGGTTGATACTGCTATTTATTGTTTGGCTCGATGAATTTTACTTTGGTTTTTCTTCCCATTTGGTCGTCATGGACAAATAAAACTTTTCTATGCTACTATTATTTTCTGGAAGCAGTCTATTAACTGCACAGATTCATAATTAAGAATTTAGTTTGCCAATGTTACCCCAAAAGTTGTGTGAGTTAATGCCTACTAGCTTTATTTGAACTACCTAATAGTTAATAGGATTTAAAGTATGAGGTCCAATGTTTGGTCTAGGAAGAGCTATAAATTGAGTTATATTTTGCATTGTGCTTATCAAGAGGGAAAAGAAAAAACATTTTATCAGATTGTTCTCAAACCAGTATCGCATAGTTTCTTATTGGAACTTTAATGTGCAAGTTTTGGTGTTTCTTGATCTGCAAAAGATGGTTGAGCTATAATTTTTGCTTAATCATTGCCATTTCAGGTGGAAATAGTGCTACTGGAGCAATTGCTGGAGGTGTAGCTACTGGTGCTGCCTTACTTTTTGCTGCACCAGCATTTGGGTTTGCATGGTGGCGCCGAAGGAAACCACATGAACATTTCTTTGATGTACCTGGTTTGTGCTCTTAACTGAAAAATAGGTTAAATTGTCCATTTGGATGTGTAATGTGTTCGATTTATACATTTTTCATCAGCCGATGAGGATCCAGAAGTCCACTTGGGACAGTTCAAAAGTTTTTCGTTACGAGAATTGTAAGTTGCAACAGATAGTTTTAGCATCTCTCTCTCGATCTCTGTCTCTCGCACAATCGCGTTCTTTGCTTACACATTAGCTGTACTTTTTTTTGGATAATTTTTTTTCTCCTAAAAATTTCTCTATACAAGTATATATATGAATTTATATATGTATCTCTATGTATTGATTGAATAATCATCATTATTTTGTTTTCAGGCTCTCGAATGATCCAATCGTTGATTGGCAGTGATGGAAAAAAATCAACTCCTGTGAGAAAAGAAACCCTAACTTTCTCATTGGAGGTAAGTTCTAATATATCGTTGTAACATCTCCATGGATTTGGTCCAAAGATACAATGTCTTTTCAAATAGAGTTAAAGTAGCATTTGTTATTAGTGATCCTGTTGATTGGGGCAGGGATATTCAGGTATTATTAGTGATCCTGTTGATTGGGGCAGGGAAATTGGAATAATATAAATTGAAGTTTTATTTTTGGTGCAAATGATAAAAGTGCACATTAAACATTTTTTTTTTGTTGTTTTTTTCACACTACTTATCTTAGGAACTATTTTTTATAATTTAACCCCTAACTATTACTTTTCACTTTTTAAATTCTCATGTAATTTAACAGCACAATATTAAATGCTATTAAATGAAATTATGAAATGGATGTTATACATGTGCATTATTCTATTTATGTATTTGGTTGTTTCCAGGTAATTAAGAACCAATCTGACCTCATTGATAAAAGACGAGTGTTTTACTCAGACATAAGAGATGACAATCCATTGAATTCCATTGTGTCAAAAGTGAAAATTGTGCAACTTGCGGCAAAAGTATGACCATCACTTACTTCTGGCTACTGATATCTTTGTCTGTTTGTTTTTATTCTTATGATTATTTTTGTCTCTGTTTGTGTGTGTGTGTTTCTAAAACTCTGTTCCTGTTTATTGCTTTCCAAGTTTCTGAAATGTTTTCTCTGTGAAACAGGCTGACTTGGCTGAAAAAGAGAATACTTTTGTCTTCAGACTTGTATTATGATATGGCATATTCATTGCCACACTTTTCGTTTACAACTCTACAGCTACAGGTTAGTATGTTTACCCAAGGACTACAATCATTTTTTAAAATGAATTCTTCTAATAGATGTTGTTTGCGTCAGCAAATCCAGAACTTAAAGATGGATAGTGATGCATCCTCAATAAGTGAAGCTAGTTCAAATAGTGCACTAGGAGACAACTGACGCTGCAAAGTCTTCCCAAGTTTCTAGATGTCAAGAGTATCGGATGACTTTACTGGATTTATACTCTGGATGTGGAGCCATGTCAACTGGTCTCTGCCTTGGAGCATCCGTATCTGGTTTGAAACTGGTTACTGTAAGTCATGAAGTGATTGTAAATGTGATTTTTGTAAAACTTGTTCTTCTATGCACTCTTCCATGCAAAGGCTTATATATGTTTTATTTGTATTTGTTTATTAGAGGTGGGCTGTGGATATAAATTCTAATGCATGCGAAAGTCTAAAGTTGAACCATCCTGAAACTGAGGTAGTATATTTGTTCCCTTTCCTTTACTTTTTTTATTAGTAATTTATATATATATATATATATATTTATCAAGGACAAGTCCAAAATGATTATAGGTGAGAAATGAAGTAGCAGAAGATTTCCTATCTTTGCTTAAGGAGTGGGAAAAGCTTTGTAAAGAATTTCAATTGTTGGGTTCCCATCAATCAGAAGATTCCAATTCTGAACAAAACAGCTTGGACAGTGATGATGATGTTGATGATGGCTCTAAGGTTCCTTCTGGAGAGTTCGAAGTGGGAAAATTACTGGCCATTTGTTATGGTGACCCAAACAGTGTCAACAAACATGGGCTGTATTTTAAGGTATATAGACTTTAACCAAGAATGACCTATGAATGTCTTCCAATGTGATTGCTTGCTTTCATGGATTTTGTTGCCTCACCAACTTAATTGATCAAAACAGATGCTTATTTTGATGAACAAATTGGTCACCTTTTGTAGTTCAAATGTTTTAGATAGGTATTTTAATATTTAACAATTGAAGCTGCAACAGTACCCAATCAGATTTTCAACCATAGACTCATGTCTTGAGTGGTGTTTGATGTACCACGTACTATGATTTTATTTTTGTATCCTATATGACTTTAGCGTCAAAGTTCTAGTGGAATTATTAAATGTGTGCTTAACTTAACCTTTTCTAATCTCACAAGAGATTGGATTAGTTTTTTTATTGAGACTTGAATCTAGGACCTCTTCTAACTTTTGTTTTGATACCATGTTATATTAACACTTAAAAAGTTTTTATCTTTTTTTATGGACGATCTATTAAGTATTTAAATCTAAACAAAAAGTAATAAACACTTAACATCTGAAGGAAAGAAGGAAGAAAGCTAGTTCACATGTCTCCGTTGTCCCTTGAAAATAAATTAATTAAATAAAGGGACACGGCACGTGGCGTGTTCCATACATGTCTTCATCATGTCCTTGTGTCCGACACTCCTATGACACTTGTTTTGTAGTGTTGATGCCTCATAGTCTTGTAGTTTGATAGAAATTCATACCAAAAAAACTTGTGTTGGTGTCACATTTGGAACAAGAAGACGCATCAAATGATATCACAACATGTGGCTAATTATTATAAGGTCACACAACATTTGGAAATGGTTTGCTCTTGATAAAATACTTACCTATGCGGTAATTGGGTCTTAAGGGGTATATTGGGTTATTAAAGAGTTAATGGGCCAAAACTGGTATTGAGATACAAGCCCAATTAACATTCGACATTCAGTTCATTATTTGAAGTACCTGACCCATTGATATTTGACGTTCAACATATAACTCTGAATTTGATCCATGATGCCCAACCCACTCACTGATCAAGCTTATTTGGGCATTCAAATTATGAGCATGTGACCCAATCAGTCTTTAAAGGCTTACTTAGGGTCCGTTTGGGAAGGGCTTTTCCGGGCTTTTTTGGTTATTTTAGCCACAAAAGACAAAATAGGCTATTTTAGTCACAAAAAACAAAACATCACATCCAACCCATAATCATTACACTCTTCTCTCACAAAAAAA